CTGACTATTTAACCTGTGATATAAAGTGTTTTTGGTACATGTTATTGTGAGTCACCTGAGAGGCCTGAGGAGGAGGCTTGGCCCGCCCGCACGCTATCTCGAAGTTTCTCACAATTTTTCACGCTATCTCGAGGTTTCTCACAGTTTTTAGTCCAGGTGGGCATGTTTTGTTCACTGGGAGATGTTCTCACGTGATGCAGAGGGTGGAAAGTATTAAATAGAGAGCGCTCAGAAGAGAGTTAGAGTCTGCTGAGAGTCTTCCGATCGGGATGTCCAGCTGTGTTGGTGTACGCTCTGCCTAGGCTGTCTGGCTCTCCAGTCTATGTGTCACAGTGAGAGTTTTTTTCTTACATCAATACTTGTGAGATTGTACATTTGTGATTGTACCTTGCTTTGCTTGTTATGCTGTAATATGTGGCGAAATAATAAAGACACTATTATTTTAGCAGAAACGGCGTGTGTGTGATTCTTTTTGACCATTATTAAGCTGATACTCTTCTGAATCCTGGATTTATTTAAACAAATATATCCCAAATCATTTTGGTGTCACGAACAGGATATTGGAAAGAGTGCTGCATAATGTTCAAAAGAAAAGAAAAAACGAGTGACAAAGTTGTGCCGGGATCAAGCAAGTCCCAGTGTCAGTTGACAACAACTGAAAATGTTGTCAAAGACAAATTTGTGCCGGGATCGAGCAAGTCCCAGTGTCAGTTGACAACAAGTGAAAATGTTGACAAAGACAAAGTTGTGCCAGGATCGAGCAAGTCCCAGTATCAGTTGACAACAAGAGAGAATGTTGTCAAAGAGGAATTTATGCCGGGATCGAGCAAGTCCCAGTATCAGAAGCAGGCGCTCGAGGAGGCGCAAGATGAGAACTTGTTACAGAAACAACATGTCCAGCTGCTGACTGCACAGCTGAACAGAATGACTGATGTGGCGGAGGGTGCGATAACACAAGTTTCTATCCTGAAAAGAGAAAAGTTCAGGAAAAAGAAATTAAGTCTGTCACCTAAAAGAGTTTGTACTTTCGTTGCCCATTTGGGAACCGGATGGGATCCGTCGAGTTGGGACGGTAACATCTGGGGAGACGAGGATTATGAAAATTACATTTGGAGTGAGGAGAAGGATGAACTAAATGCTGGAATAGTGGTGAGGGCTCCTATCATTCAAACAACGAGCAAAAATGTGAAACCTGTAAGAAAACGTAAGAAAGAGCAGCAGATAATACCAGATGTGTTGCAAGCGAGGGTAGACGCCCAGGGACAACAGATGGTGGGGCTTGATGGACAGCCAATCATGGATCTGGTAGCACAGCAACAGCCTAAGGCAGATTTAAAAGTGATAGTCGAGGACTATACCCAGGAGGAGGTTGCTTACTTGTCTAAAATATATAAACAACAGACTGCAGAACCCACAGATGCTTGGGTAGCTAGGCTGTTGGATAAAGGTGGAGGTCAGGTAGGAGTGACTTCAGCGTACTGACAGGAAGTCAGAGCTTTGCAAGACTCGAGACTTTTTGGAGGCCATCTTTGTGAAAAGAAACCGTCCATCGTTAAACAGGGGTGGAGGCCTACATGTTCAATTGTCTCCCTCTTACAATGCTGTGATTGCTAGTATCACTCAGCCCTCTGTGAATAGTAAACAGCCATCAGTGTGCTAATGATCCATTGTTAGGCTGATGGTCCTTCTTGAGCATGTGATCAGCTGGTTTTGGTTGTCAGCAGCAAAACTGGTTGATCCACTCTGAGAAGGTGCTATTTAAGAGACTGAGCTGAATACAGCACCTCAGACTGAGGAAGTCTCTCGGATAAGAGACGAAACGTTTCTACATTTTTTTGTTGTTTTGCTTTTTTTTTTTTGAATGTCCAGAGGACCAGATTGAACTTTTTTGGATTTTTCTACCTGGATTATTGAGCATGCATCAGGATACTCGAGACTTTTGTTTGAAGTTTATGCAGAGGCAGTCCGACAGATGTTTCCTGGAGCATCGGATTGGCCTGATTTACATGGGCATTGGGTGACCTTAAGGGAATGTGTGCAAAGACTGGTTCGACTGTGTGTGAGTGATGCACTGGCTGTGGGTTTGGCAGCAGATTATCAAGTGCATGTTGTTCCAATGACTGATGTTCGAAGCCGAGTGTTGGAACTGGGTGCACTCGGAGATTGGAACACAGAGAGGGCTGAAAACCATGAAAAAACATTTAGTCAACCCATGGGTCGTGGGCCGGGAAGGGACGGCTGAAATAACACACAGGGACCCACTCACTCTGCTTTTTGGAAGGCGTTAATCCAGGCAGGAGTGCCTCCAGCTGAGATGGATGGTTTGTCAACAGAAGAACTGAGGGCTAGATGCCATTATTTGGATTGAAAGGGCCAAATGTAGAAGGTCCAGATGTTGACATCAACCTTCTGAAAGCAGATATTGCCAACATTGAACATCGAAGGTCCAAAATTAGAGAGCCCAGATTTTGACATTAAACTAAAAGGTCCCAAACTTGAAGGTGATATTGATATTAAAATGCCAAAGGTTAAAGGAGAAATTAAAACACCTGATGTTGACATTAAAGGCCCAGACATCGACAATGAAGGCCACAAAGGATGAATTAAAATGCCTAAAGCCAAGATGATTGAAGGGAAAAGGGTGGATTTGAAATGTCTAAAATAAAAATGTCATCAGTACACTTGAAGGGGATGTGTTAATCTGGCTGCTTTGAAGGAAGGGCATCATATGTTGTTTGTAAATGGTTCATCTACAGCTGAAGTTTGACGGCATCTAAAACAACCCGAAGTGTCTAAAAACCTCTGAAATACAAAAAAACAAATTCACCATCTTGTTTTGCAGTTGTTTCATATTTAAAGTAAAAGTTCAGCTCTTTTCAAGAGGGGTTCTGTGGAAAATGTTATGAACAAGTAATATCTTACCTGCTGCACATAGGCTTTAGAACAACCTCAGTTTGGAGAAACTGATAAATTAATAGTCTGAATGGGGCCAAGACCAGAAGAAGGATTTCTTTTTTAATAAATAAGTTAATTTTAAATGTAATTTAAAAAAAAAAAAGAAAAGAAAAAAGACCTTTATATTGCTCACACCTTTGCATGAAGTTGTTATTTATGAAGAATTGTCTGATTATTTGTAGAACGTGGTGCAGTCCAGAGTAATTCCTGCTGGAACAATAACTGTGTAGAACAGAACGGATAGAGATGAAAAGATTTATACTTGAGAGAAAACTAATGACTCTTTCTCTGTCTGTAAGCAGTTTTCTTGTTTCTACAGCTTGAAGTTTCCTTGGTCTTTGTTGACTGGATGACCGGGACCACCCAGGAGCCAACATGGGAGAAGCTGGTGGCAAGCGCCCGATGGCAGCTCAGATGGCAGTGCAAGCTGTTGGGGCATCAGGTTCCTTGTCGTAGGTGCCATGGTGTTCCTGGTTGACCTCTAGTCAGACAAAGTAAATTCACATGTTTGAAACACAAAAAGCTGCCTGATAGGGAACATCACAACTGACTGTCCTATGTACAAGTGTTGGGCATGCTACAACAGGAAAAACATCCCAGTGATACCTAAGGGATGTCAGATTAGAATTTATGTGGAAACCCCACTGTTTAACATGAATAAGAAGGGTACATGTAAACCAGATGGAAAAAAAATGGAACAAAGTTTGACTTTACTGCCAATAACACAGAAGAAGGGAACATGCTTCGTTGGCAGTTACCCAAATTGGAGTCTGGATGCCCTCAGTAGTCATGACTCAAGAAGAAACTGCCAAAATACTGCTAAAAGAAATAAACTGGCAGTTGAAGATGTGGTGTAACACTGAAGAAGTACTCCAAAACATAACCCAGGTGCTGAACTGGACCAAGTGTACCCTGCGAACCATACATGCGCAGTTGCAGAAAGAACGCTTCCAGAGAATAGTGACCACCTCAAATCATCATGAGTGGAGGAAGCTGTGGAACATTTCTAGTACATACTGGGTAGTTATAAAACCTGAATTGACAAAGTGTACTGAATATACTGTATGTGTGAATCTGTCCAAGAATGGGTTGGCAGGCGATATGTTGAAGATTTTGATTTTGAAGGGAATAATTTTCAAAATTAGTCAGAAAACCAAAGGGTGGAATGAATAAAGAATTTAATAAAATGTTGTTTTTCTGACTATTTAACCTG